ACATCATGTGGGGTTTGTTTTAACCAAGTTCGTAATAACTTTTGTTTGGCACATGTTGTAATTCCTCTAATGTTGTAAGTTATAATAAAAAGCATTGTAAGGTAAATAAGAATAACTATAATGATAATAATAATAATAATTTTTATTTTTTGTATTATAATATACATTATTATTGTAATTCAATAATATTTAATTATATTTCACCTTCTTCTTCCTCATTCTCTTCCATTGGAAGAGAGATATGAAGATGTTGCTTTTTTGACTCATTTATTGTTATATTATTCTCATCATGCCGGGGTCGTTTTAACACATTTTGACCATCCTTATACATTTGATATGCTTCTATAAAATTAATGCTCGGAGCTTGATTGATCATATTAGATGCTTTATCATTCGGATGAATATTGTCTTGGTCTAACATAATTTGCCGTTCATCATCCAGTTCTTGCTGACCTTCTGATTGTTGTTGAACGCCTGGTTGTTGTTGTACTTCTGGTTGTTGTGTAACTGATTGTTGTTGCGTATCTGCTTGTTGTTGTATATCTGTTTGTTGTTGTGTATCTGGCTGTTGTTGTATATTTGGTTGTTGTTGTACATCTAGTTCTTGATGAACAGCGGGTTGTTGTTCAACATCTGGTTGTTCTTCTTGATCACCTGGAGGTAAAGCAGCCACAGCTGCAATACATTCTTGTGTTGCTGATAGTTGCGGACTTTCAAAGTCATCAGCATCACGTATACAAACAACGGTAGGTGTTGATGGAAGTTCATCACTTGATATTGGTGTTGAATGATGTACGATACCTGATGATGGAGTTTTTTTTATTGTTTGATTATCAGTTGTTGGTGTTGAAGCTTGTCTTGAGAAAGTTCCTGCAATATTTGCGTAAGATCGCTTCCTTGTACAATCTGAATCATCATGCCCAATTTCCATGCATACACGACATTTTAAAGCCGTGTATTCAGATTTAATATGGCCTGATGATTTACAACGATAACACACCTTAATTCTACCCTCCAATAATACGGGAATGGTAATACCAAACAATTTAAAGGATATCGGAATATTCTGTTCGTCATTTGGTGACTCAAATTTCATACGTATTCGTCGAACGAATGTTTTAATTGATGAAAAAGGTCGTGGAAGACACTCACATTCTACACTGACAATCGTGCCCTTCCATTTTGATACAACATCACGAATAACGTCATTTGAGATAGATGATGGAATATTAAGAAGTCGGATCAATTTTACTTGTCTGTGAGGTTTGTGGACAGAAAATATTTGATCCCTAACTTTTAAATGTTCGAGTTGTAGCATTTTTTCTTTTGATGAATTTGTTTTAAATAAGATAAACCATTTCTTGGCATCACCTAAGTTACCGAAGGATTCAATCTGATTAACCGGTACAATTTTACTAATTGTGTTAATAATAGCTGTACGATCTATACGGTCGTTTCCACTAACTAGCGTTAATCCAACGGAATCTTGTAGCAATTGATGACTTGTCATTTTGATAGATGGAAGATGTAATATATGATGTTGACAGGAGAGAGAAGAGGATAAAAAGATATAGGGAAAGAAAAAAAAAAAAGAATGTTAAAGAGACGGAAAAAAAAGGGATAACAATAGAAGGCGAAAGGAAGAACGAAAAATAAGAAAAGAAATGAGCCGAAAAGAATAACGAAGAATAAGAGAAGAAACGAGGCGAAAAAAGAGGGAAGAGAAGGTTAACAGGGGACGAATGAAGTGGAAGGAGAAAGAATAAGAAAAGGAAAGCAAACTAAGAGAAGATAATAGGTAGATAGAAACGGGATAAGCTAAGGTAAGAATAGCTTCAAGAATACGGTTTAACTGATGTAATCAGAAAAGATTAAAGACGGAAAAAAAAAGTTATTGTTTTTCTTTTATCTACTTTATTTGTTTTTGTTTTTTTTTAATTTAACTATTTCACGTTTAAAAAACTATCAGAGTTGATTATTTACCTCTTGGTATGTTGTAATAAGCAACTTCACTCGTTAACATGTAGAGCACAACATTTCTCTTGTTCTTACACATTTCTTTTCTTTACAATCGTCCATTCTCACACAGTCTGTGTAAAGATAAAGAAGATGCTGCACACTCCATATTTACAAGAAAAGTTGCTTATTACAATTTACCCAGAGGTAAATGATCAATTCCGATCAAATACATGTTGCGATAACGAAAACGTGCGGACTGGTGGCGACACTAGTCTGCCAGAGCAACATTCTTCAATAATAAAAAGCAGGTCCTTGTAACATTCTATATATATGTTGCGTTGTTGTTCAACACATAGTTGTTAAAAAGCAAATTATTAGTGGCGACGATATTTGTTTGGTTGCATTTTTCGTGATAGAAATGATGTGAAGTTTTAAATTATTTGCACATTGGATAAAGATAGAATATTATCACTGATGTTTTTGAAAGAAAAATTTTCTTGTTGGATGTCATTTATTTACCACATAATTGAAAATGAAATAGTATTCAATTCTTTATTGTAGTTAATTGGGGAGTTAAATGTGTTTTTTGAAATGTGATAATTGAGAAAAATATTCAAAAGTTAAAATGGTTATTATTCAGATTAGAAGTGTTAACGACAAATATAGCTCTCAATGAAAGTCATAATGATTATGTGTAGCTATAACTACTAAGAATGTTAATTCGATTAACATCTTGAATTTATGATTTAATTTCATGTGATTGGGATAGTAATTATTTCGATTGAATGGATATGTTTAGGAAAAAATAAATTCAGTTATAGATTATTCTTTGAGTAGTTTTTACTATTTTTACATGTGTGTGGAAATCGGTAAAATTATAGTCATTTTATTGAAAATAAATTTCTCAAGAATATTCAGTTTTGAATTAAAATTATGTCTCTGAAAGTTCCATCATAGAATAAATTGTTCGAATGTTATAATAATCATATTTTTCAACTCTCGTTATAATTTTCGACCATAGTTATTGTGTTGAATCGCACTTTAAAATAGTTTGATTATAGTCAGTAGCCAATAACACTTTCAACATTATAATCATTTAGCGAGCGATTATAAACAAAATGAACGTAAAAAATTCAAATATCGTTTGTTATTTTGACTCGTCCGGATTATAGTTGACGAAAACTTGACAAACAAAAAAAATGCTTATAATTGACGTAATCGAAAGTAAAGTGTTTAAAAATTTTCTCATTTCTCTAACGAAGGAAAACCAATTATAATAGATGTTCTGTTTTTTTGCATAAATTTTGAGCGGTTATAATTGAAATTAATCAGCAAAAACTCAATGAAATTCTGATATTTTTTTATTACAATCTTTTGTTTTTAGTCTATATAACTGTACTTATTACTCAATGTTTTCTTACATGAGCTGAGATTAGTTAAAACTATTAGTCATATCTATGTCCTAAATAAAGTACAGTCACAGCAGGTATTATAAAGAGCCACCATTCCACTTGATCCTTATGAATCATACAGAGAATATTTTTCTGTTTATTGCTAACTTGTAAGAAAACAATGGTTTTTATCTTGTTTTATCATGTTTGTCAATATAACAACGAGGAAGAACGAAAATAGCAGAAGAATATCTATGTGCAGATAAAAGTAGTGACAGACACATAAGAATCAAATGATAATAACTTGATATAATTATTTCATTTTTAAATAAAATACATATGATTATTCTTCACAACATATGTATATTGAAGATAATTATCATTTTAAAGAGTAACAAGTAGAATACAGTAATTTTAATTTTTTAAATACTATTTTCAACTGCTCACATTTTTGAAACTTACAATCAATCATACAGCAAAAAATATATATTGTCTTACATGTGCATTCGCACTTGACATATAAGTACAAGAAATTGTAACTTGTAGATGAATACATGAAAAAAGAACCGACAAAGAATAGTATATAAATAGCAAGTTTTAATAGTAAAGAATAAATAAATAAATATTTATTGATTTATTTTATCAAACATGTTAATTAAATTATAATAATTATTATTTCAACTTAATAAAAAAGTTATTACTCGAGGAGTTTTAATTCCTACATTATTTTATCAAACTGTATATGTTAAGACTTTATCGAAAGATAACATACTTAGAACCAATGACACACTGACAACAAATTCGCTGATGAAAATTGTGACAATATATTGAATATGCATGGGCACTTCGATATCATGATAAATCGATACCTGTCCGTTAAGTAGACATTTGGATGTTTGAAAAAAAATTCACTAATGATTTCTACACTTTTGTTTCTTTTCTTTTTTTTTTGTTAGATGAGAAGAAAGAATTCAAACACTGAGAAACAAACGAATTTTCCATTTTATTTAACCTTGTTGAAGATATTTCATTCATTTCTGAAGCATGCTATATCTACCGACAAACCGTAAAACTAGATGGATCTTATTATAGATTCACCTTAGAAAAGAAACTGGCTGGAATTTTTAACATGGATCATATAGAAAAACAAAGACTATTATAGATAATAATGAAAATGATTCGACTAAATTGAACAAATGTTTTGTTTTTTTTCATTCAATAAAAGTATATAGGATTGCATTACAGAAACTAATAAAACAGTCATAAAATAATTTTATTCATAGTCAAATAAAAAGAAATTTTTTGTTTTGCTTTAAATCTCTAATATATTTATTAAATGATGTTGTTTGTTTGAAATGAGGAATTCTAAAAGTATGACAAAAGTTTCCATGATTAGAACAATCATATAAAAACCATCCTCAGATTTTTACAGATACTCTTATAACATCAACAAATCTGTACATCCAAAAAAAGAAAGATCTCATTCATGATACAATAAATATTTCTTATACGATTGTTATCTAGACTTGGACTGATATATCATTATAAAAGCTTGTGAATAACTATCAAAATATTCATTCCTGGTTGTTTCATTGTGTTTCATGTCGATTTTATTGCTGACAATATTTTCTTTATCTATTTATTCAGTGTCATTGTATCAAGGTATTTGTTTTCGTCTTGTGTGGTGCACATGAAAAAGTAATAAAGACTCAAAGAATATATAATGTGAACAAAAGAAATACACGTCCGTTTTTATAATGCAACTGGAATGAAAAAAAAAACAGACTAGTTCGAACTAGAATTCTATCCAACGTTCAAAACAAAAAAAAAGCTTTATTTCTTTTTTCGATTCCGTTGATTGACTTAGAAGATAGGACTCTGCTTAAAATTAAACTGTACATTTCGTTCATATCGAAACACAAATATTACTAACAAATCAATAGTTACACATAATTGTTGTTCACATTTCTTCTTATTCACAAATCTAAAATTATACATTCTTGCTCGTACGAATTTTAGTTTCAAGTGAAAAAAAAGTTTTCATTTTATATTTTTTGAATGATACTATGATTCCCATATCTCGAAGGAAACAGGAGTGGACCAAACTCCAAAGCGTTCGAACACATTCCCAAGTCTCATGTTCAGTTTGTTTAATATTTCTTCATTCATGTTCTTAATCTTGTTATCAAACAAGACAATGTTTAAGCTATGATGACGATAAACTAAGCATAAATCAATTCTTTTCTTCAATTAATTTCTCCGATTCGAAATATTTGTTTCTCTTAATTTACTATACAGAGATTTATTCTCTAATGTTATTTTCTTCACAACACTCATTCGAAATGATCTAATTGATCAACATAATTTTTCTGACAGCTTTCTTACAGAAAATCTGTCGTAAGAGTTTTAAAAAGTTCTTCTCTCATGATACGAACTGAATTTGGTTTGGACGTACTATTTAGGGTTACATTCACAAATGTATTGTTTTTTCTTTTTATGATATACATACATTTCATCTGTTGAATAAATGCTTGAACTTTTGGCATAGAGAAATATAATGTTGCTTCTGACTAGATTCATCTTATGGACACTATTATAGCTTTGTGTCACAAGCACTGTCAAATACTACATCAAATAGAAGCTTCCACAACAATAACCCGATTTGTATTTGATTTTGAAGTGATCAAGTGCTTGATGAATAGCTCACAAGTTACTACTGAGATTAATGCGTTTATATTGAGTTTGTCTTTATACATTTAAAATATATATTTCCTCGGTAAAAATAAGAGCTTTCACAATTAATTTCATTATTTCACAATGTTCACCTCTACTAAAATTCTGTAACATGAATTCATCGCTGTGCATGATTCATGTCAGTCAAAACAAATTTCTTTATCGACAAAAACAAAGAAAAGAGTTACCTTTTTATAGTAATGTGATTTCTAGATTTAGAATAATTCGTTTTTCAATCTTTTTTTATTTTGCTGTCAATAGATGTGAAAAACAACAAGACACTACTAAATAGAACGAATTTTCTTTTCTTATAAACATATTCCATCGTAATATGACTCAACAAAGATATCTTTTAAATATCAAAGTCTAAGTTTGAATTTCCCAACCATCACTTAAATATTATAGATCGAGCAGCTATTTTCTTAGA